CCCCCCGCCGCCCCCCACTTCCCGGCTGCCGCCGATGATTATGGATCGCCGCTCATTTCTTGTGACAAGTTCCTCCGTTCATCGACGTTGTAACTCAAGACTTTGTCACTTTTTCCGGCCTGTGAGACAAGGGGTAGTACTTTTAATCTTTATTTTATAGTGGATCCCCTTAGTTGGGTCAGACGCCGTAATTTTTTTCTTTTAAGGGTTTTCCATGTAAAAACTAGTTGTCACTACTAATTATTTTCCTTCTTCTGAGTATGTGTCGGATTCTCGAACAATGCTAAGACAATAATTTCTTACTCTTCTGTTGTGAATCTTCTAGCACGCATCAATGCACATATAAGACATTTTATGCATTTTCATGAACGAAAAGATTTCAGATAAACACTCGAAAAAGTTTTAAGCCAAATCAAATTCAATCAAGAATAACATGAGTCAACAACAATAATTCAGGAAGCCAATCTGTAGCAGAAGATCATAGGAGGTTACCATGGAAGAAGTTCAGTGCCAACATTTTGTTTAAAAAAGATAAAGAAATGGCATTTGGATAAGTTAAGATCATATGTTAAGCTGTTCCCCAATTTGGTAAAAAATCAAATTACATCCCCAACATTTGAAACATTTGCATTCAGACAAACCCAAGTCTGCAACTCAACAAGACCAAATATCAAATTGCATCAATATATCACAAATGGTTACACAATATCATTCATAACAAAACTTCAAAAAAACACAAGATCAACTGCAAAAAAAAAAAAAAGTTTCTGACTGACACTCTTCTCAATCGCCAAAAATAATAGAGACTTTAATATTACATTTAACTACATAGAGTTTTTCGTATCTAGACAAAGAACAGTTACGCAGAAAAACTTATGATAAAATATCATCCAACAAAAGACAGTTTAGTAGGAATAAACAAGTTGAAGGGCTCGCGCACAAGATAACAGATCACACCATCAATAAGAATCATACATATATATAATATCGGATGATGCACATACATACCACTTAATTCCTATGTATTTACATATCTAGCATCTAAACATTAATTTTTACATGTATGCCGCATTGCCCGTGCATAAAAAGGTGTCTTTCACTTTTTTTTTAAGTTAAAATTGCGGCATTTTTGTTGTGATATGAGAGATTTAGGAGGTATAAATGTAAAAAGTAAAGTTTTGGTTGTAGGCTATGTAAATACAGAAGAGTTGGGTGATACGCCTGTAAGTGCCTCTATGATATAACTATAAATGAATTATTCCACCAATCCATCTAACTACATTATATTGAGAAAAACCAAAAGAAAGCAATCAGATTATATAATTCACCAAAACCATTGGAAAGAAGAGCTTTTTCAAATGAAAATTCAAAAAGCCAATAATTCAATTGACAGCCAACAGCACGGCTGCCATTCAAAGCTAAGTTAAAGGGAAAAGAATAATTGACGGTAATTGATGTATTTGTGATCCACTTTTTAACTGCAAAACTAGAATTTGAAGTTAGAATACAAAGTACGAGGTATTGAACTACCAAACTCACCTAAAGATCTCATGGCATTACTCACAATACACACTTATTCACCATAAAAAGTCTGTAACTCAAAGTGTACTCACTATAAAATTCAAAACTCATATAAAGCTCCCAACCAATAGTTGACTACAAACCAAATTCATCGGCTACACAACAAGCTACATAAAGTTTAATTGACGTAATTTCTATATAGTTGTTCTATGTACCTAAATTTAATTATGCAAACCTTGATTTTTTATCACTAATTGAGCCCATGAAAATGCAATATTAAATCTAAGATGGAACTCTATTACATAGAAATCTAACACGGAAAATTTATGGGTTTCTCCTCAACATTCTGTCTAATGAGGTTGGATTGAGTCCATTGTAGATCAACTGACAAAAAAAGCACTGAGGCTGATAAGGAGCAACTAACTGAAACAGTGAGAAAGGTTTATACTTTTATTCTGTGAACTCCATAAGACAACCGGTAAATACATTTACAGATAAAGCTAAAGAGAAAAAACATTAAAAAAATGAAATAATAAAAATGCAACTATATTTGCAAAATTAAATAAAATCATTTGGCTTCCCCAGATGGTGTTGTTTACGCGTAGGATTTCTCCGAATTGGACTTCTCTCAGTTCTCCATTCAAAAATGACCTTATCCTCTGTTTTTATAATTTGGATGAGGATTTATAAAGTCCGGGTATGAAAACCACCCAAAAAAGTATCTTCAGGTTCTAATCCCTGCCAGTGAACCAATAACCGTGAGAGCGGCTTTTACTTTTGTGATAGACATGGCTTTTGTAAGATTGGTATGAGTTGAATGCATCTGCCGGTAAAGAAGCATGAAGAAAAAATGTGTTTTCATGATAAGGTTTAATAATGAGATATGAAAAATTGGATGAATTATTGCATTCGATGGCATGTACAAATTTTAAACTACAACACCAATCAGTTATAGTATTTACACAAAGAAATCAAAATTCTTAGTCCCTAAATATAGGAAAGTATTTATAATAAGAAAACCAAAATAACCCTAATTCAAATTCCTAAACATAAGAATAAGGAAGCCTAAGGCTGGCCGATCCCCTTGTGAGTGGTAAAACCCTAAACCGATTAACCTATCAAGATTGGTTTCATCACTTGCCCAACAAGGCTGCGTCATTGTCCCCAAGAGAGAACATATTGATACTCATAGTAAGACACCAGATCAACAATACTAAAGATAGTAAAACTATTGTAATCATGAGGTAGGTCAACCTTGTAAGTATTGACATTAATTCTATTGATAACCCTGCGTGGATAATTAGTTCTGGGTCAGAGTATCCAAAATAAACATACATAAAATTCACTTCCAATTTAATTCACACCAAATCATTTTCCTTAAAAATCATAGCTTTTTTTGACTTGTAAGTCTGCTTCTGATATTTATCATTGTACGTGGTAATTTCTTTCTTAACTTGCTCCTGTAAAGTCTAAGTCTCCCTGACCTTGGTCTCCATACTAATATTAACCTCAATACTAAAAAACATGTAACTAATTCTAAAGGTGTGAGAGGATTCCTCCCATATAATATCTTAAAAAAGACTGTGGCTCGTGGAATTGCTAGTAGATATATTGTAAGAAAATTCAAATTGAGAAGAATTGAGTTTCATTGTCTGTTGCTATTGCCAATAAAACACCAGAGAAGATTCCCCAAGCTGTGGTTCAGTGATCCCGAAGTGAAATATAGTTGTGTAAAATTATAAAGTTGACTCTGCTATGCAACGATGTAGTAAGTTGTGTAAAATATATATATAATTATAGGCAATTAATAATGAGATTCTATATAAGTATACATATCATTATCAAGTAATAAAGGACTTTCTATTTAAGCCCCAAATATCGATCCCATAATGAAGGTGTAAATTGGCAATTATAAGTTTTACTAGGAAATTTACAGAAGATCAAACAAAATCACTATCACTAATTTCAAATATTGAGATGTTATAAAAACTAAAGTACTTAACTATTAGCAAAACAGAAATGCAAAATTTTAAAAGTAAATACTAATCTATTAACTATGTTTATTGAATGAAGATTTTTTATGTGAAAAATCATCCTTCCCACTAAATGAGGTTCTGGTGAAATGAGATGAGATAAATGTTTATAATATGTGTTGTGCCTAATATAAGCAATTATAATTCTCTACCCAGATACAGTGCATAGAAAATCATTGGTTAATCCTAGGTTTTGTCCTTAAATCTGTGGCTAAGCTAAGAGGATATCGACTCCCACTCCAAAGCTCCCCCTTTCCTTCACCTGAAGGCTAACTCTCGCTTTAGTTTTTAAACAATAATACCGAATTGGGGATTTTGGTTTATCACCATAAAGATTCTCCAATCTACACCCAATAAAGTATATTTTTCTATTTATTTGCACTTAATTCCATGAACCAAATTCTCTTTCAGGAATCAACTGCTGATTCTCACTCTGTTGTAGAACTCATACTCCATTTCCTGGATCATATGTTTCACAACATATTTTAATAATTCAATTGGCCAGATCAAAAAGTAAATTAAGAACGTAGTTGAAAAATCATCATAATTTATTTTATATTTTAACATTGACACATCCAAATTATCTCTTTATTTCACCAAATTTCAAAGTATGAAAAAAGATAAAGGAAACTACTCAAACTTCATGAGAAATATACATCAAAACACAAATTTCATATATAAAAAAAAGTTCATACAATAATATTAAAAATAATAAACAAACAACACTTATCTGAAATTCTTTCTCAAAGCAAATCTCTTGTAGCCTCTTCTAGGAAATGCAGGAAGAAGAAATCTCTCACTTTTCTCCTTCTCTAACACTCTTAGAGAAGAGTTCACACTTAATCTTACCACAAAACTCTAAATTATAAGAACAATGGACTCAAAATGGTTGTGGAATGAAAAATGGAAGAATGTGTGATGCATTGAAGGTTGAACTGGGACGATGAAATGTCAGAAAGAGTCACCTTTTTTATCAGGCCCCAAATAAAATCTAGAGTCGGTTCTCCAATAGGTGCCTCCAAAAACTCTTCAAAAATGAATCTTCTAGAAACAGGGGTTGAACAACATTGGCGTCGTCGACGCCAGTGTTCCGCAATTTAATTCGCTGATCTCTATGAAACGGCACCGTCGGCACTGAACAAATTTTTAACTTCTTCATTTTCGCTCCAAATTTCATCCTTTTTGCTTCGTTTTTGCTTCAAGTCCTAAAATTCAACAATTTGCAAGAAAACATAAAAATATCTTCCATTAAAGTGCAATATCACCAAAAATGAGTATAAAATATTGGTGTAAAAATGCATATATTTTTTGTGTATCATTCAGCACCTCCTTCTATCCATCTAAAGATGAGATGTTGAACTAAATCAATGCCTATTACACAACTTACCCAAAAGATTCTCCAAAAACAGCTAAGGAACTCCATATCACTATCAAAGTGATATTCCTATGCACGCCATGAAGACTAATTATCTCCTTAAATGAAAGATCGACAATACATGAAGAATATATTGCTGTAAAATATGTTATTTTGGAGAAACAATCTATTACCATCAGATTAGAGTCATTGCTTCATTATATCTAAGGCAAACTAACAATGAAGTCTATGCCCATATGGGTATAAAAGTCCATTTTTGTCTTTAAGTCTGAGCTAAATGACACACACTGCATTGTCTGGAATGGCTCTCCAACGTCATATATTAACCCAAACCAAAAGAAAAATCTCTTTGACTAAAGAAATGGCTTTATCTCAAACAAAAAATGTTTGAGATAACTCTTAGAAATGCACAACTTGTTCTGAAATAACAAATAATCATCGAATGGTTTCTCCTGATGGTTTCTCCTGATGACAGACCCAAATCTCTTAAAAACTTGCATTAGTGACATATAGATCCTTCAACACTTCATAATCACTTACATTCAATCATATAGTCGTGATCAACAAATTGCAACGACTAAACGCATCAACTACTTTATTCTAGCTCCAAAATTTGTTTGAATACAACATGAAAGGAAGAAAGAAATTGTACCCAAGAGACGTGTTTACCCTTCAATTTGTTTTGTTTAGTCAACAATCTTAGGAATTCATGACCAGTGTTGAGGGTAAACTTACTGGTTAATAGATAATGACTCCAATAATTGATGCTATCACTGTAACATAAAACTTAATTGTAAGCGGAGTATTTTCACCTAGAATCATTTAACTTCTAAACCAATTACATTCAATCATATAGTAGCAATCAACATATGGAAGCGGCTCAAAGCATTAACTAATTTATTCTATATCCAAATTTTATGTTTGAGAAAAAAATGTAAGGAAGAAAGAAATTGTAATTTTGTTTTTTTTTTTATTCAAGAAACTTAGGAATTCATGATTTGTATTGAGGGTAAACTCACTTGTCAATTGATAATGGCTCCAATGACTAATGACTCTCACTATAACATAAAACTTTATCGTAGGTGGAGTGTTTTCATCTAAAATCATTTAGCTTCTCACGAATAAAGTGATAGCATCTAGCGTGACTCGACGCAACTCAAATCCCTACATTATAAAAATCACAGTGTACCTCAAACACCTAATTAAAAATGGAAAGAGTAAAACTACGGTTGAGTGACTTGCTCCTTAGGTGCATCCAAACTAGCATGCACTTTATTTGAACATGAAAACTTTTTTGCCTTGAGAAGTTCTATCAGTGGTGCCACAATAAAATGAAAATTTTAGATGAACCAATTAAAGAATGAAATTGATACATGACAATGACAGACTCAGTGGAAGGCTTTCAGCTATGCCAATTCAAAATAGCCTCTATCTTGGTTGGGTCCATTACAGTGTTATCTGCTAAAATAATTTATCCTAAAAAACATGTATGTTATGTTAGAAAGTGACACTTGTTCGGATGATCGTAAGATTTATATGTCTGAAAAAATACTAAAGACCCGTCACAATTGCGACAAGTGATCCTCTATGAAATGGTAAAACACTAGAATGTTATCAAGATAAACAACATGAATCTCCCAATAAAGGCTCATTCGAACAATTGCGACAAGTGATCCTCTATTTCACATATGCTTTAGATTTTCATACCGCAAAGTACTCTTCTTGAGACTATTGAAGACCAACTTAACCATTCTATCAAATGAAATGTATTAATATTCAAAGATCTATTCCATGGTTAGAAGCTATTCAATAAACTCGTTCAGATCCGCATGATAGTATTGAATCGATGAGTCAATCTCTATGATGCACGAACACTTCTAATTAAGGAGTCGTGCATCATAGAACACGTACAGACAAGGACACTGCTCTAATATGTGTCGGACACAACATAAAATTTTTAAAATATCGAACATGCGTGCAGGACACGTGTACCCTAAGTTAATAAATTATAAATTTGTGAAAGATATTTTTAAGATTAAAATTAACAAAAATAAATGTGTAAAATTTAAGAAAAATTTGCATACATGTCACTCAATTTTTCTGTATTTACGCATATAATACCTAAGTTTCAAATTTTATATATATGTCACCTTATATATAAAAAGGTGTATTTCATTTGTTGAAGATGTGATATGAAAGATTCAAGTACATATAAAAATGAAAATTTAGATGTTAGATATAAAAAAACGTAGGAATTCGATGCCAAAGAAACCAATGATCATTTTATTTCTTTTAATGAATAATTGATTAAAAGGACTTAAATCTTAATAGATGATAATATATGATTATTTTTTGTATGCCATAAATTAAAAAATTAACTATAAACATCTTAAGGTCCGATTCAGATCTTTTTTT